GGCTTCTTGAATTGCACCATTTACTACAAGATGTGGGATGTGTGCTAAGCAGAACACACCTATTAAAGAATCCTACTACGGAGCTTTGAACATGTAAGCAGCTCTATCTATGGTGTGACAGAACCATCTGTCTGTCTATTGTGGTGGATTCGTTTATTTATGCCCTCCTTCGTGTAAATGGCTGTTTCTATAGCCCAGCCATACGAATGACACTTTTTTACCGAACAAATCTACCGAATGGATGGCCACCCAAGATAGAAGTGTGCTGCTGGTTAACTTCTTGATCCCAATTAGACCGTTGTGGTTAACCGCAGATACTTCTCAATTAAACCAAATTCAGGGTGGCAGTCGTTCGTATGTCGACCACGAGGCAGCGGCCATTTTAAAACACACGAAAGACCAGCGGTGTTCGGCACTGATTTCATGGAACTAAAAACTGACACTTTTTCTGCCGAACACCGCTGAAACAACGGGTCGCCCTACCCCATCGACGAAAGCATGCGAACACCAGCCATTCGGGAGTTTGGAATCACACGAAAAGCCTTAACCCAGATAGCCTTCCCATGGAGTCAATCGCATACCGAAAGACTGTAAGAACTCTGACTCCATGGCGATTGAACTATGTGTGTGGGATCTATTCGCTAATAATATGCCCTCAGATCCAGGCTATCTGGGGATGTGTGATACGAATGTGAAATGTTCGGTAGTTGTAGAATTATATATTTTTGTGTGTTTTCTGGCATTTTATTTAAGATGGCGATTTGTCTTTGTCCTGGAGATAATTGAATTACTTCTCAATTATCTCCAGGGCAGAGGGGAGGAAACCATATTGCATTGTGGGAAAAGTTTACATCTGTATGTCTGAAATGTCCCCATGTCTATCTGTCATTACAGTCTCCCATTTGGTCCCCCAGGGGAGTGTCCACCAAGTGGGAGACCTGCATAAATACGGGCTGGTAGCCCACAGTAAAGCCAGATCCTGTTTGAGCCTCAATGCGGAGCTTCTGTCTCGTTATTGGGGGGATTTTCTATTGATGCCTAGAGACTGATTATTGGAACCGAAAGCCACTTGGTGGATATCTTCATTCGGCAGTTAGCGGCGGTTCGTGGACATCATTTATTTGATTGCCTGAGATGTTTGCTGAAGTATGCCATCACTTCAGTATGTAGCAGGAGAGATTGATAGCCATGCTGCCCTACAAGTTTCTCCTCTGCCATACCATCATGGGCTGGCACCTGGTGTCACGGGTATGTGGTGAATGGACTCGGTATGCAGAGATTTTATATGGACACAGTCACTGAATTAAAAGGCTTTATTTTGAAAACAAATAAATAAAAAGGCAAATCAAGGGAGACTTGATTGAAGCTGTGGTTGAATTGCAGGAGATAGATCAAAGCTAGGACAGCATTGCACGGGTTAAATAAAGTAGAATCAGTGCTGCAGGGGTTAACCGAGGTTGAAGTAGTGTTGCAGGGGTTAATCAAGATTGAAGGCAGGTTTTAAGCAGACAAGAGTTTATTCAGAAGAATTCCACGGGTGAGGGTAGTCAACTCACTTGAGTCAGTAGAAACAGCATTGCAGGGGTTACTCAAGACTCAAGACAGAATTCAGGCAGACAAGAGTTGATTCAGGGAATCCACAGGTGAGGTTAATCAACTCACTTCAGTCAGGAGCTGGCTCTGTACTCCAGGGGAACAACAAAATAACTGAGCACAGACCCTATGGTGGTCTGTGCTTATATAGGGAAAAGGTAATGGGAGCCCTCCCATATAAGTGGAAGGCTCCTCTGGGTAACAGGGTGTCCACATCTTAATATGTGGGTGGAACACTGTCAGTTTGTAAACTGAAAGCCACTGTTCCCTACACTGCTTCCAGGAAAACATGAACATGGTTCTGATAGCCTTGGGGCATACATGCAAGGCCGGCTTTAGGTGCCCTGTGCGAAAAATCTTCCCAGCGCCCCCCCCCCACCTCCCTGTCATCCATGTATGATGTAATGTTTGTGTTGTCTGTGTATGTGATAGGTGTGATGACTGTGTGTGATATGTGTGCTATGTGTTGGCTGTGTGTTATATCTGTAATGGGTGTATTAACTGTGTGTGATATGCGTGTATTAGTTGTATGTGATATTTGTGCTGGGTTTATTGGCTGTGTGTGATGGGTATTTAATTCAGATAAAAATATGCATTTAGGCCTGTGTGTGAATGCAGGTGTATATTTTTGCAGAGTTATGTGCACACAGTCCCACAGTCAGATGCACACAGTTATGCATATACACTGTCAAAGACACCACATGCACATAGTCACAGGTAGATAGTCACATACACAGGATCTGGCAGAAACACATGTACAGGCAGTAACACGCATACACAGTTACAGGTAGATAAACACACTCACACACAATTACAGACAGACAGCCACAAACACACACACACAGGCAGACAGCCACACATAGTCTTACACACACACAGCCACACATACAGTCTTACACACACATACTTTACATGCAGACAGTCACACACACACACACACAGGCAGACAGTCACACACACACACAGTCACACACAGACAGCCACACACACACACACACAGACTCTGGCAGACAGTCACATACACAAGCAGACTGTCATACACACACACAGGCAGACAGTCATACACTTACCTCTGTTCATTCTGCTTTCCCTGCAGCAGTTAACCGGCACTTTTAGCTCCGCCTCCGCCGCACGATAAGCTCTGCCCGCCACATTTTTTTTTTTTTTGTAATAATCCCGGCCGGCCATTTGTGAGCTGTGTGGCCTGCTCCATGGCGCACAGCTCACACACCCCTAAGGCTGGCCCTGCATACATGCCACCTAGTCCGCCCGCCAGAGGGGAGGTACGCTGGTGGACTTGGAGAACTTGTGTCCCTTCCCCCGCACGCCACAACCCAGGTGGTCACTTGCCGTACAGGCTTAATTAACATCCAAAATACAGTTCACACTAGCAATGCAACAGTGCCAAGAAACACGTGGCATCCAGTGAGTGAGTGAGAAGCACCGAAACCTCCCGGCGCGCTGGGACAGCTGGCAACAAGAAGCCCTCCATAAACTTGTGGTAAAAAGTACCCATTGACCTACAGCCTCAGCCAGCTGCTGCCTTAATAGTAGCATGCAGGAACAGCACAGCGATATCTATCTTCCTGTTGATAGTGAATTGTGAGGGAAGTACATATTGCAGACCAAGGGTTTACAGAGATCCTCTTCTATCGGGGGAAAAGAAAACTCTCCCTATAGCTATAAACTGAAATTAGGCAGGTGATTTTGTTAGCCTGCTGTTTTGACATGCCTCTACCATGAAATCAAAATGTTCAAGAGTGGACTGGCAGATACAGGGATGATGTGGATTTGGAGTCTGTCTGTTCCTGTTGCCTAGTGACTCCAGACTTAACATCCTCCCTTCTCTGCCTAAGGGTGGTAGTAGTGGAGGAAATACAGAGGCTGGTAATTGGTTATTCAGAATCAAATACAGTACCAGTGGGCCTGTTGCCTGCCCATATACTTTCTTTTTCCACTTCTTTTCTCGGTAATACAGACTTGTGCCTTTGCAGATGTTTGTTCATACCAGCACTTGCAAGATAACCCAAACCACCCTCCTCTCCTCCCCCATCTTCCTTCACAAACAACCTTTCTTAGGTGCATTATATTAGCCTCAATCTTTTACTTTGTGGTTGATAAAGATGCAGATAGATTTGCATCAGTGGAAGACAGGTCAAAACTAGAACTTGGTTGACTAATGCTAATGGATGGTGTAAATAATCTCATTGGGTGAGCTATTTCTGATCTCCCTGATTTGTCATGCTGCAAGCTCGCAGTGTCATATTGTGACTGATTACAATGTACACAGTCATCTTGGTATTGTGTGTACCTGGAATATATACAGAGCAGGGTATCTGTCTGTATATGCAGCTGTGGATCAAGAGAGGGGGTTTTGTTGCATTGCTAGTATGAAATGTATTTTGGATGTTAATTAAGCCTGTACTGCAAGTGATCACCTGCTGTGGAAGCCAGCAAGTCTACTCACTGGAGAAAGGAGGCTCGTCCCAAGCCACAGGACCTGAAGTAGTTACAAATGGGTAGACAACCTCTGAATCTGCCGGCCCTGGTAGAGACCCGCCCCTGAAATACCCTTCTCATGGAGGACTGAGCCTTATCAAGGGTGGTAAATGCCACCACAAAACACCCCAGGTCTTTATAAAAGAGTCCTCGAACAAAAATCCCTGGGCATCTTTGCCCACCTTGGTGATGGCGAGATTGAGATTAGGCTCAATTTTGAAAAGAATGACCTTGCGCCGTTCCATAGACAGGGAGGCATTGACACTGACTGTAATGCAGATAGCCCTTTGAACCCAGCACGGAGTTCTTCCAGGTCAACCTGTCTGTCCTCGGTCTTCTGCCAGGTCTTAGCTAAAGGACCAAAGATGTCCAAATGCTTACCCTGGCATGATTTTAGGGCAGAATACAAATCATTACGTGGGTTCCATCCCAATTTTGTAAGGAACTGGATAATTTTTTGGTCAATGACAGGGGTCTCACAGCCCTAAGTTTACTCCAGGCCGCACCCAGGTCTCCAGGTAGCGTGGCACATGGTCCGCCATGAACCATTCGGCCGACCTAGGATGATGGAGATCATCTGGGTAAAACATTGGTTCTCCCAACAGATCCAGGAGAGCGGACCCACGGCAGAGCGGGAACTCCGAGATTCGCTTAGAGCCACCTGAGCGGAGGGCAACAGGTCAAGGCCCTGTTCAAATGAGTAATTCTCAGAGTCACTCAAGGACTCAGTACCAGCCTCCTAACTAGACACGATTTCTGAGTCGGAATCGCTCTCAGGCTGTGCTCTAGCACATTTCCACCAACGTGCCCATTCTGCCTGACACAGAAAGGCTCTTTTGCATGATTGAGACATGCTTTCTTGGGTGACCAGAGGATCACCATAGGCAGAGGGAGATAAATGCTGGCGTGGCTGGCGCATAGCTGAATAGCTGAATCTGAACACCTTGCGTCCTGCGGGCTCAAGAGTAGGGCCTGGGAGATGGTTTTAGAGAGGGCAGAGTACATAGAGCCCATAGCCACCATAAGGGCATCAGTAACTAAATGCTGCAGTGCCAGGTACTGAGCTTCATCAGGGTGGGCCACAGAGCTAACTACTGATGGTGGGGAGCCTGATGCCAAAGAGAGGTCCCCCAGGCACTGAGGCTACAGCTGCAGATAAAAAGCAATACAGACTAGAAGGGGTTAATCACCGAAACTAGCCAAACCAGAGAGGGAGAGAGAAGGGAGCTAACCAGGGCCCAGCCCAGCAGACAGGGGAACACAAGGCAAAGACAGAGCCAGGAAGGATGGGTAGTCACATAAAATGGCCGCTAATCTTAAAAACTTGCGAATGCATCCAATTTGCAAACTGAATTTCACTGAACAGCACAAACTCGAGGGAAAAAAATAACATTTGCTCACTTTTTTGGAAGAACTTCGGAACGCCACATTTTGTGTCAAAACTGCCAAACACTACAAATTTGCGGAAGAACTGATAAAAGGCACAAACTTGTGGCAAAATAGCTGAAATGCACGATTTTGCTGCAAAAACAGCTGAAAAGGGCGCCAAACAGTATGGGCTAGGGGAGAGAGTCCCAAGTGCAAGAGCACCAAGGGACCTGAAAAAAATGAAAAACAGGAGAACAAAGTCCAAGAGACCCTCCAATGGACAGGAGCAATAAGACAAAGCCAGAATAGAAGGGGAAAAGCATGCAGAGGGAGAAAGCAGAAACCACTTTACAGGATGGTCTGGAGCCCTGGGCCCAAAGGTAAATACTTATAAATCAATAAACAATATATAACAACAGAAATAATAAAAATGTAAAAAGATGAATAAAGTAATAAATCACCAAAGTTAACACAGATAAAGCAGAGAAAAATGGTACTTAACTGACAGTGGAGCAGCACAGAAAGAGGGTGGTTTATAGTGGAACTTGGACGGGATGGGGATTGGCTGGTGTCATTGTGTATTTTAAATTTTTTCTATTTGTGTTCTTGGTGGACAGTAAAGAAAGTGTTTAGCAATATGAGCCTCCATGTCTCTGAAATCAGAGATTACTCTGAAGGGACAGTCAAGATAACCATTTGTTGCCAGAGTGGACTTACACGTGGAGGGGAAGGGCGAGAACTAGTGTAATGAATCACTTTGCAGGCAGTTCTTTCCTGTGTTTCTCCTTATCTGCCCAGTACTGTATTACCATTGGTGAACATGCTTGTGCAATGTTTTTTACTGTTTGTTGAGATCTATATAAAATAAAGAGGTCTGAGGTGTTTTTGAGTTGCAAAGAAGAAGTTGGTTTGTCTTTTCCTTGATCTCACAGGATATTGCTATTCATTGTCCTCTATAGAGTAATTACTAATAAGAAAATTGCCAGAGGACTAGATAGATGGAATATTATTTAGTAACCAGATACCAATCCAGTATATTCTGCATTGCCAGTACATAATGGGTATTCAAACTTTCCACTGCTGTCCCCCATGTTTCCTCAGTTTCTTTTTGGAACATTAATGATGGTGGTTTAGTTTTTTTAATTAAAATTTTAGTTTTAGTTTTTTTAGTTTTAGTTTTTTTTTAGTTTTAGTTTTAGTTTTTTTTATTACAATTCATTTAGTATATAAATGATTGTATATTGTGTAAACTAACACCACAACTTTATGCAAAAAAAAAAAATAGGTGCATGTGTTGCAACATGGGTTGGTGCTCGGTAGAGATAGCATTGTGACATTATTGTGACATTATATTGACAGTATTCAAAACCACTATTGTACACACAGCACACAGTAAGACTTCTCACGACTTGGCTGTCAGAGCAATATAAATTGATTGGCTTGATAGCCAACCAAGCAGAGTTCTCTTGGTCATATTGCAAATGTGTGAAATTTTATGATGTTCGCACCTTGACATAGTGCCAAATCCGCAAGGGAAGCCTTGGCACGTGTCCTCCCCTGGGCAGCCGCCCTTTTGTTTAGACAAGCGCCAACCAGAGGGAGCATTGGTGAATTGCTTCTCTGCTTGTTCGGTTCCTGAATGAGGACCTCCCCGGGCCCCATTGGACATTACCACTCGCAACATAAGTGTGAAACTGCAAGGGAAGTAATTAATGAGTGCTTCCCTGGGTGGCCACCATTCATATAGACGAACAACAACCAGGGGGAGCATTCGTATTCCAAAAGGAGATGCTTCCCTTGCCTGGTTTCACACAGGGGCCCCGTGAACAGAGGCTGTTCGAGCCAGGTACCATTGTAGGGGTCCCTGAGGTTGGTGTGGACACCCTTTTGGGGGCAAGGGCTAGTTTGGCAGGCTTTCTGTGCCTTTGACTCCCATGTACAGAGGCTCCTGGGATGAAGACACTCCTGACATCTGGAGAGGGAGGCCCTGGATTTGGGTGGCTGGAGCAGGGGACAAAGGGAGCGAAGTCCCTTTTTTCACGCTAAGACCCCTGGGAGGGGGAGGACCCTGGTAGAGGACCCTGTTGGTGTGTGTTAGAGACCCCTTGCATGGGGCTTCACATAAAAGCTGAGTGTGCCATAATAAAATTGTGTTGTACCTCCAGAACTAGGTGTTGTCCAGTTACTGGACAAAATGGGTCTCTGTGTCTGCTAAGTGGGTCCAGAACGACTGACGGAAGGACATTAGCAGAGGTAACCTGTTGGGTTACCCGTGGTCTGCTACAGGCCTTTTTAAAAAAAAATATTTACTGGTATCATTTATTATGGATTTTTATATTAGAAGAATTAGAAGAAGGAAGACTTCTGATGGTAAGTATACATTTTTTTAAACCAGGTTTTAGTTGTGTTGAACACCTCTTCACCATTATCCGGGGGAGTGGGGGGAGTTAGGGACTTTAATTAATTGTATGGGGTTGTTAGGGAATTGGTGAAGGGGGAGGATGCTTTGGGATAAGGGGCTACACACCCCATTTATTATTTTTAGGGCATCTACCTGCTCCCTGTGGGTGGTTGCTGGGGGGTGGACACTAGGTGCCCTTTATTATTAATATTCAGGCTCCCACCTGCCACCTAAAGGTGGGGGCTAGAGGGGGATATTAAGTCCCCATTTTTATTTTTTAATATTGGGTGAGGGATGTTGTAGCACTAGGTCCTCCCCATGAATATTTTTAGCAGGTGTGGGCTATGTCCCCTTCCAAGCTATTTCTCATGTCCCATCCCAATGGGGCTTTATTTGGTAAGCAGGCAGCAATGGCTAATTAGTTGCTATTTTTAAACATTTAGAAGACATACAGCAGGTAAAGGAGGTACAATACTTCAATTATAGTAATATGGGGGATTTATTAATCAAAATAGGTTTTATATTTATTTACTACTTTTTGCATGTGCCAACTGGCTAGCAAGCACTAGCCAGTTGTCACATAATTAACCCACACAACGCTGGGGGTTATTTTACTACTGCCCACGGAGCAAATAGTTCTTCAAATAATAAATTTTCTGGGATTCAGTTTGTCTTTGGTCACCATGTGGTCTTAATAAATATCTGATTCCTGTCCATTAAATTGGTTCTGATGTAGATATTAGTGATTTTCCAAATGCTTCTGAACAAATTTTGCAGAATCGGTTGGACTAACTGAATCCTGACTTTATTTGGCTTTAGTAAATATGCAGATTGCCAATGCAATCGGAATTCCCATAGGCTAGCATTGATATCACTGGCCCGGGTCTGCATCGCCCGGGAGTGTATGGGACACATGAAGCAGAGAGAGGGAGGGTATGGGACACGGAGGAGAGAGGGTGGAATGGGATACATGGAGGGGAGGGGGGGGGAGAGAAAGGGTATGGGACACAGGGAGGGGGAGAGATAGAGGGTATGGGACACGGGGAGGGTGCAGAGAGGGAGGAATGGGACACAGGGAGGGGAAGGGGAGAGAGGGAGAAATGGGACACATGGAGGAGCTGGGAGGAGGGAGGGTATGGGAAACATGGAGGGGCTAAGATGTGAGGGAATGGGACACATGGAGGGGCTGTTGGTGGAGGAAAGTATGGGACACATGGAGGGGCTGATGGGGGAGAGGGAATGGGACACATGCAGGGGCTGTGGGGCAGAGGAAATGAGACACATGGGTAGGCCAGCATGTGGGAATGAGACACTGGGGAGGGGGATGAGACACCAGGGAGGGGATGGGGGGGATGATAACATGGGAGGGGGGCCCCAGGGCAATTTTCGCACCAGGGCCCAGTGGATTCTAGTTACACCTCTGCTGTCACACATACTCTTCACATACAGCTACCCCTCTCCCTGCCACACACCCTATCACATTTCCTTCACTCTGTCACACTAAACCCCCTATCTCTGTAACACTAATCCTTTCACACTAGCCCCCCTTAACCCTGTCAAACTAATCTTGTCACACTAATAGAGTGGTATTGGGGATTTTAGTGTCCCTTTAATAAACACTTAAAATATATTCATAAAATATATTTTTTTTAAATATTATATATATATATATATATATATATATAAGAAAAAACTCAGCACTCCCAGGTAGCTTTCTTAGGAACTTTGATGGTTGTCCTGATGAAAGTTCCTGAATGGAACTGAAACGTTGACTGTTACACTTTTCAGTAAAAGAAGTTCCTAAGAAAGGACATTAGCAGAGGTAACCTGTTGGGTTACCCGTGGTCTGCTACAGGCCTTTTTAAAAAAAATTATTTACTGGTATCATTTATTATGGATTTTTATATTAGAAGAATTAGAAGAAGGAAGACTTCTGATGATAAGTATACATTTTTTTAAACCAGGTTTTAGTTGTGTTGAACACCTCTTCACCATTATCCGGGGGAGTGGGGGGAGTTAGGGACTTTAATTAATTGTATGGGGTTGTTAGGGAATTGGTGAAGGGGGAGGATGCTTTGGGATAAGGGGCTACACACCCCATTTATTATTTTTAGGGCATCTACCTGCTCCCTGTGGGTGGTTGCTGGGGGGTGGACACTAGGTGCCCTTTATTATTAATATTCGGGCTCCCACCTGCCACCTAAAGTTGGGGGCTAGAGGGGGATATTAAGTCCCCATTTTTATTTTTTAATATTGGGTGAGGGATGTTGTAGCACTAGGTCCTCCCCATGAATATTTTTAGCAGGTGTGGGCTATGTCCCCTTCCAAGCTATTTCTCATGTCCCATCCCAATG